GTAGGGAAAACACACACACACACACGCATTCAACTGACTGAGCGTAAGTGGATTTGTCTTTCAGACCAGTTCATGATGTCATGGACTGAGGTCATAAAATGTTTCTGCAGATTTTTGAGGCCTTTACTGTGTGTAGTGGATTTTTGAGTCATACCAGATTTAATTCCAAAAGCAGTTTTGATTTTTATTAGACATATATTAGAGAGTGCTTGACACAACAGAACAAAGGAAGCAAAAAGCAACAGAAGCAAAAAAAGACAGAAATTCAAAGCTGTGTCTCCAGTGCACTTGTGCTTTGTGGTGGTGGTGGTGAGCGTTGGGGGGGAAATATGAGAATACCAGGGCAGGGTGCAGGAGTAGAAAGCAAATAATAGACTCCTGGGAGGGAGAGAAAGGGAGAGGATTGGCTGGTAAGTTAAGTGTGTGTGCACGTTTTAACCCGTTTACCACAAATCACATGTACACTACTTTGAAGACCTCTCCAAAGTCCTCGATTTTTAAAAAAAATCTGCTTTCCACACACATTGGCCCGTAGCCATTTCAGGACAGAAAGTACAATTGCAGAGATTTGATTTTCTTGAGCAATATGCCTGGTTTTATTTCTTGTCAAAATTACGGCAGTGTAGCAAGGAGACATGCAGACGCAAGCGCATGTTGATTTGGAAAATTGCAGAAATACTTTAACATGTTATAAAAACATGTCTGTGATATCGTGTTTCTGCAGGGACGCTGTCAAGCTTGGAGACTGGCTTATGTTTGCAGTCATTTTATAAGTTACAGGAGCCAAAAAAAAAATCTAAATTAGGCCAGTGTGGGTGGAGCTCAACACCTGGCAACCACTCTACTGACAGTGAAATAGACTCTCTAAATATCCCTTTACACAACAATCACATCACTGACTTCCATATTGTCAAGCAGCCATTGGGAGTGCATCATAAGTCACTTGTTGTGATGCTCATTGTATTCAAGAGGTGGCTCTAAAATCTGAGCTGCCGAAGCTTCCTGCAGACACACTTGCAATCCCTTTTCAGGAAAATCAGTCAAACTGACAGATTGCCTACCACAAACATTCACAAATGTTCATTGTGTTGATTTACACGGCTCCTGATCCCCATTTCTTTCCTTTTTTTCGTGGTCTGGAATTATCCCAGTGTCCTCTCAGATATTCATAGCATTTGAAATACGCCGGCCTCTCTTTGTATGGTCTGCTCTTAAGTCATTTAGTAAGCCTTCCATCTAGTCCTGGTGTTTGCTATGTCTGCATGTCCTCAGTGAGCTTGGAGTCTGTCATCTTGTTCTGACCGTGATGGATTGGAGGCTGAGCCAGGTCCCTCATGCTTTAGCACTGAGCTTAAGAGCTGTAATGTGGCCTCGAAAGAACAAGAAAGATGTAATTAGAGAGCACAGACAGAAAGCAGTGCAGCTCTCAAGAATTCATTCCTGTCTCCACTTTTGTGTTTCTGGACGTTTGTTGTCATC